GGGGGGCGCAGAGGATTAGGGTCAGATCCCGGGGCGGCGTTGCAGCAGCTCTGCCTTGCAGCCGCGCGCACCCCTCCCCCCAACCCCGGGTCCCGGTCCTCGGTCCTCTCGGCGGGGGCGGGGCGGCGGCGGGGACGCGAAGTCCCGGCTTGCATAAGAGGGGCGGGAGTTTCTGCCCCGCTGGCGGGCGCCGCGCGGCCGGGAGGGGAAGTACAGGGCGTTCCGGCCCGGCGGGAGGGCGGGGCGGTCTGGCCGGCGCCCGCCTAGGAGGAAGGGGGCGGGGGCCGGAAAGTCCCTGGGTGCCTGCCAGGAACACTCAGCTCATAATAACCTCGCGGAAAACACCGCGGCCTCGGCCTCCAGAAACCCCGGCCTTGCGCAATCCCCCGCAGCCCGCGCCTCCCTGGGCCCCACGCAATGCACTCAGCGGCCCTGGGGGTTTTTCCCTCTCTTACCCTTAGGTTCCTGCACTTGGCCATCATCCATGAAGAGAAGGCATTGACCATGGAAGTAGTCCGCCAAGTGAAAGGAGACCTGGCCTTCCTCAATTTCCAGAACAACCTGCAGCAGGTGCGCCGGCTTGCCCAGCCCCGTGCCTCTGGCCCAGTGAGGAAGTTACATTCTAGCACAGTTGCTCCCAATCCTTCCTAAATTAATCATCACTGGTCATTATCTGTCCTGACCTTTTACATTGGAATCAGTCAACATCCTAGAGAGTAAAGAAAATCCCATTGATTTGGTGAGGACTTTATGAAAGCCCACCTGGGGCCTCTGGGATTTGTCTTGCCCCTTATACCTGTCCGGGAGGAGCATCACCCACAATCAGGAGCTCTCTGGGGTTCAAGGGAATACAGACTGAGTTTGGGCCATGCTAATGCTCTTTCTGTTCCCTCTTCTGTTTGTAGACTCCACTCCACTTGGCTGTGATCACCAACCAACCAGAAATTGCTGAGGCACTTCTGGAAGCTGGCTGTGATCCTGAGCTCCGAGACTTTCGAGGAAATACCCCCCTACACCTCGCCTGTGAGCAAGGCTGCCTGGCCAGTGTGGGAGTCCTGACTCAGACCTGCAGGACCCAGCACCTCTACTCCATCTTGCAGGCCACCAACTACAATGGTAGGTCTGCCTGTCCTACCCTGCCGATTAGAAGGCAGGTGACATGGAGAAGGGAGAGGTGGGCCGACTCTAGGAGTCCAGGCAAAAGCTTAAAACACTCAACACTTGAAAGGTTGAGAAAATATGCGTGCAAAAGGCCTATTTGATCCCTTTATAAAGTTCATTCAGAACCCATGTTCTGGCTTCTTCAAATTCGAAAGAATTTGTTCCCTAAAAGGATAGGTGAAAGGTTCTTCTTGGGATCTGAGGGTTGAAACAAGTGGTTGGTTATACTTTCTTCATTGTTCTCCTAGGTCACACATGTCTACACTTAGCCTCTATCCATGGCTACCTGGGCATCGTGGAGCTTTTGGTGTCTTTGGGTGCTGATGTCAATGCTCAGGTGAGTGCTTCATGTCTCCAGATGGAATGCATCAGCTTTCAGGGCCCTCCTAAGATTTCACATATTTTTGTTGCAAGCAGAAATTCCAAACTCAGCTTAAACATCTCAAATTCCTATTGGTTTCAGGAGCCCTGTAATGGCCGAACTGCCCTCCACCTTGCAGTGGACCTGCAGAATTCCGACCTCGTGTCGCTTTTGTTGAAGTGTGGGGCTGATGTCAACAGAGTCACCTACCAAGGCTACTCCCCGTACCAGCTCACCTGGGGTCGTCCAAGTACACGGATACAGCAGCAGCTGGGCCAGCTGACCCTAGAAAACCTTCAGATGCTGCCAGAGAGCGAGGATGAGGAGAGCTACGACACGGAGTCAGAGTTCACAGAGGACGAGGTGAGTCTCCACTTTGTCACTCTGCACAAAGCACTGCCTTCCCAGGCCCCTAGAGCTACTCTTTATCCAAAGGTCTCAATGTAGCGAAGTTCTCAAACTTCAGGGTGCATGACCAGTAGTATCCTAAGAGTGTCTGTCTTTGCCCTTTTTAAAGGAGAGGAACATTAAAGGAAAACTTCTCAGCCCCTGAAGTTAATTTATGTTTGGGTTATGGAGAATAGAATCCAAGAATACTTGAGTTCCTTCCAGGAGCAGCCCTCACCATTATCCCAGGGCTTTTGGCAAAGCTCTGGGAGTTTAACATGCCTTTTTTTTCTCATGTGTTTAGCTGCCCTATGATGACTGTGTGCTTGGAGGCCAACGCCTGACGTTATGAGCTTCAAAAAGTACCTAAAAGAACATGGACTTGTATATTTGTACAAAAAGAGAGTTTTATTTTTCTAAAAAAAAAAAAAAGAAAGAAAGAAAAAAAATCAAAAGGGGTTACTTACAACCATACTTCACACTGCGTGGCCTGAACATTTACTGTTCTGGATCAGCCCCCATTTTTTTTTTTTTTTTTTTTTTTTTTTTTTTTTTTTTTTTTTGGTGAACTTTGGAAGGGGGACAAAGAAGATCGTTGGAATTCAAAGAAAACCACTTTCAAGCCTCACCTCTATGGGGTTTTTGGAGAAGGTTATCCAAAAATGTGATGAAAGGATTACATTTTATTTATTGTGCTTTTGCCATTGAGTCACCATGGATTCCGTGGCTGAGCTCAGTGGTATCCTGTGACGTGTAACAACCAGGTGTGTTGTTCAACCTTTTGGCGGTGTGGGGTTAAAAGTCACTACCTATCAAGGTTTGTGTTACCCTCCTGTAAATGGTGTACATTGTGTATTTTGTTGGTAATTATTTTGGTACTTCTAAAATGTGTATTTATTAAACAGATTTTTACAAACAGAATTATCCTGATCATTCTCATTGGGCTGCAGCGGGGTTCCTAATCTGAGAGTTATCCGATCATCCACTGGCGGTGGAGAGTTGTGTGGGAGCACTTACCACAGCCAGCCACAAAGACCTTTCAGAGAGCAGCTTCTCACGCTGTGTATGCAGGACTCCCAGCCGGGGTTTGCAGGCGGCCCCAGGGCCCTGTGTGTGGGAGGGGAGGCTGTTGCAAGAAGATAGGAAACACCATTCTCAGGCTGGGGGTGGCAGCAAGCTGCTTGGCCTACAGCTGGAAACCTCCATTATCAATTGCTTTCATCTTGGTTTAATCTGTGCCAAGACCGTTTCACTTTAGGAAATTATTTGGGTCAAGTGGGATATGCTGAAATCCTATGTCATAGAGCTGGGAAAGATCTTGACTATGATACTGGCAGTTCCTAAGGAACGGGCTCGGGAATGGGACTGCACTAATGTGTTTTTAGCAGGTACCCACCTCTGAGCCTTCATTTCTTCACTTATAAACTGGGCTGTTGTGAAGATTGCACAAGACAATGTACGTACAAAGCATAGCAGAGTGCCAGGCACACAGTGCTAAAGAAAAATACAAGCTATTGCACAACATCCTGTATTTCACAGGGGAAGAAACAAGTCCAGAGAGAATGTCCTGTCCTAGGTCACCTTGCAGAAGAGGCAGGCAGTCAACTAATACTCTTGTTTTCAGGTGGTTAACATCTTTTACCTGCGTTCCACCTCTAAATTAACCTATTGTTACCAGCTGTAGTATGAAGGCTTGAAAAAATCTTTTTCCTCAGTGCAGTCTAATTCTACTTAATGGATTTGACAAGAAATCAGTAACTTGTGAAATTTATGTTTCAATGCTCTGTATCGATGTTTTCATCCCTAAAATACATCTCTTGCCTAGGTAGAAAGAGTAATAAAGGAAAGTTCGTGGCATTCTATAAAATACAGAAGGGCATATAAATACAATTCATGAACTTAAAAATTTTTTTTTTTTAACGTTTACTTATTTTTTTGGGGACAGAGAGAGACAGAGCATGAATGGGGGAGGGGCAGAGAGAGAGGGAGACACAGAATCAGAAACAGGCTCCAGGCTCTGAGCCATCAGCCCAGAGCCCGACGCGGGGCTCGAACTCACGGAGCGCGAGATCGTGACCTGGCTGAAGTCGGACGCTTAACCGACTGCGCCACCCAGGTGCCCCCATGAACTTTATACCTTAGAAAACATCGCCATTAAGTTGTCCCTTTCCAGATCCGTAAATGCTGTCAAAGTCAAGTGAATATGATGGTCACCTTCCTCAGACCAAAAAAGAGCCAATACACAGTGGGTCTTTCAATGTATAAAGTGTTTTGCTGTCGACTGGACTGACCAAAGCCAGTCCTGTCACCCTCCTACAGCTTCAGTCATCTAGAGCTGAGCACTGTGATAGCCCCTGTACCAGTCTTTCCATCTTTCAAAGTGATCCAGGCCCCCATCACTGAAACTCCTTGTGCATCCCAGAACACATGAACCCAGCCGCTTTGTGATGTGACACGTGAATGTCGGCTAACTAGGTTCAGCTCTGTCAGTTGATGAGTAGAAGAGGTAAGAGGGGTGTGGGGGCAGAGGAGGGAGGAATATCCACCTCATATCTAAAAGAACACAGGTTGGAAACTTGGCTTCCAAATTTGGAATGATTCGCTTAGGTCTGCTCAGTCAGACGTGCTTCTTTTTCCCCGTGTGATGGCACTGAATTTGTGCCAACTTGCTCATCACTCTTACTCCAGGTCTATGAGAAGACTGGAGAAATGGGACAGAGGGATGTGGCCCACTCTTCGGAAGCCTCCTTCATGGCTGGCTTTTGTGTGGGGTTGACACCTTCCATGGTCATGGCAGGGAGGGGCCTCTTCTGACCCATTTGGGCCCAGCCTCCCACATTTCTAGGCTTCGGCTTTACTGCTCTTCAGGACCCCAACCCTGAAGAGGGAGAGGGAGTGGATTCCATTGTCTGCATAAATCTTGAGGTCGCTTGGCCCAGTTTCTTACTCTCTGGTTCTTCTTCCTGTTTCTCCACCTCCTTTCTTTCTCTTCTTTTTATTTTAAACCTACTTTCTTTCCTTCATGCCATTGGTTGGGTGGCTGGAGTCTGGAGTTCCCTAAAGAAAAATTTTAGAATGGACACATTCTAATCTGTAGAAAGTCTTCAGCAAATTTCTAAGCAAACCAGAAGTTTTCAAAGAAAACAGAGCAGCAGACTGAGAGCCTTTTATGCACTTCAATTTTCTCCAAGGAGCCAAAGGTCTTGTCAGGACAGGTAGAAGTACGAGAGCCTTGGGAAAGAGGGAAGTGACAGAAGAGGGAAATAAAAAGTCACATCAGCAACTTCCTTGAATTTAGTTCCTTGATTCCTTCTGCCTGCCTCATCCTCAGGACAAATTTCCTTTATAGGTCACATGTTCCAAGTCCCTTCCAGAAGGAAGGGTGTTTCTTTAAGAGGGAACAAACTCCAGTCTGAGCAATCTGAAGACCATGTGGGGCCTGGGTGCTTGGGGGTATTTGCATTGAAACTTCGATTGCTACTGGAAGTGATTAAGTGCTGACGGTTAGAACTGAGTCAGTGAGATGGGTTCTTCCCTCGCCCCCTTTCCTCCCTGTTTTCATCAGCTTGCCTTAGGTGCAGTTGAAGTTTCCTTTGGCAAGAAAGGTCAGAGTGGAACTCCAGTCAGAAACATGCCCAAAAAGCATTCCCCAACACTGGTACTTGGGCAAGAATAGCCCAGGTCGTGTCCCCCATTTTAAGGGAGCATTACAGAAACTAAAAACAGATATCCTGTGTGTTTCCCTCCTAGAGAAGTAGAACTCTCAGATGCATTCATTCATTCACATTATAAAGCACTATTATTCGCCAGGTCCTGTGCCAGGGACCAGAGACCCTAAGAGGAACCAGTCACAGCCTCTGCCTCAAAGAGCTCCTTGCAGGGGCGCCTGGGTGGCGCAGTCGGTTAAGCGTCCGACTTCAGCCAGGTCACGATCTCGCGGTCCGTAAGTTCGAGCCCCGCGTCGGGCTCTGGGCTGATGGCTCGGAGCCTGGAGCCTGTTTCCGATTCTGTGTCTCCCTCTCTCTCTGCCCCTCCCCCGTTCATGCTCTGTCTCTCTCTGTCCCAAAAATAAATAAAAACGTTGAAAAAAAAAATTAAAAAAAAAAAAGCTCCTTGCTTAGGTCAGAAAGAGAACTGAACAAGCACAGCACATTTAAGACAGGCGGGTAAGATGAAGCACAGAGTACGATGTGAGCTCAGATCAGGGGTCCCTAACACTGAGTGCAGTGGGGGAAGGGGTCACGGGATTACACTCATGTGAGCTATTTGCCCCCACCCCTCCCCCAGCCAGTACTATCTATTCTTATTCCATGTCCCAAGTGACCAGTGGCACCCTTTTGACAAGTGGCAGAGAACAAAGCTATACTCAGAACAAAACTTATGGGCTGGGATAGGCTGTTCATTTTTGTATCTGTGTGCGATCCTGGAATCCAGAGCTGAGTCTGGCATCTGCCGCCAGCCTTTGAATTAATGGCAAATGATGTGCATGCCTTAGGCCAGAGCATCTTCAACTCAGCATGCAACGTGGCCTGGAGATGGTGTTGAAATGCAGGTTCTGATTCAGTTGGCCCAGAGCTGGCCTGACACTTGCATTTCTAACAAGTTCCCAGACAAGGTCTGTGCTGCTGGTCCGAGAAGCACACTCTGAAGAGCGTTTTGAATAACATTTTGAATAAAATGCTGTTTTAGTTATTTAAGGCCAGCACTTGCTGGCATTCTCCAGCTGGTACCACTGCAAACCAGGATAAGCTCTTCGGCAGCCACATATGAGGATGATCCAGCATCGGGCAACATGAGTCTTTTGGAAAGTAGGGCAGGATCCTGAGCACTGCTGGCCAAGACCAACAAAGCTGCCATTGAAACAAGTAAGTGTAATAAGGAAGGCTGACCAAAGGTATACAAGGCCAAAGGTATAATCAACTGAGGTCTAAGAAAGGAACAAAATTCTTCAAGGAAATGTATTTGAAGGGTGATACACTAATTAAGAAGTTGACAAGTTCGTTTTTATTTTTTTAAATGTTTATTAATTTTTGAGAGAGAAAGAGAGAGAATGAGCAGGGGAGGGGCAGGGAGAGAGGGAGACAGAGGATCTCAAGCGGGCTCTGCACGGACAGCAAGGAGCCCAAAGTGGGGCTGGAACTCACAAACCATGAGATCATGACCTGAGCTGAGGTCAGATGCTTAACCAACTGAGCCACCCAGGAGGCTGTTTTTGTTGTTGTTGTTTAAAGTTTTATTTATTTATTTTGAGAGAGAGAGTGTAAGCAGGGGAGGAGCAAAGAGAGGGGGAGAGAGGAGAGAGGGAGACAGAGAGAGAGGCGGGGGGGGGGGGGGGGGGGGGGGGGGTGCGGAGAG